TGTGTGGTCCCCTAAAAGACCGGTTTTATTTTTCCCAGCCATTCCCCATATCCCCCCTCTTAGAGCCATCCTCCACACAGCACCCAAGTAGTTTTCCTAAAGCACGGTTCTGACACATCTCTCCTCTGGGGGATAAACTTTGATGGCCTTTGTTACCTCTGATCAGTCATTTTATTCCCCCTTTCGGCATTTCAAACCCTCCACAACCTGGATCTCGCTTCATGCTCCAGGCTTTTTACACACTCTTTGGTACAGCCAAACCAGCCTTCTGGATGTTCTTCACAGCCGCCATTCCATCTTTCTTCAGCATGTCTTTGCATTGGTTGCCCCTATGCGTTCCTTCCCCACCTCCACCTCTTAAAACCTCAGGTTTCCTAAGCAGCTCAGGTCAAACAAATACTGCTACTAGGATTTTCCTAAATTATCTCATATTCATTTTGTCTCCTTTGACAGAGCATGAACTTCTTAAAGGGATTAGTAATTCTGCTTTTGTCTTCTCATCCCACAGTGCCTGGCACATAGTAGGTGCTTAGTGAATCTTATTGAATTATTGATAAACCCCACTGTTGGACTTTACTTTTATTTCTATTAAATTTTGTCTTTTGTGATTTGGCCCGTTGTTCCAGGCTGTCAAAGTCTTTTTAGATACCAGTTCTGTTTTCTAATGTGTCAACTCTCCTCCCACCTTCGTGGTTTTGAAACATGCCACCTAGACCTTCAAGTTATTGATATAAAAGCTGAACAAAGAATGACTGGATGCACACACCTGTGGGCCTCTGCTAGAGACCTTCTTCTCATGTAACATTGATATTAACTACATCTGTTTGGGTCCTGTTTCCACCAAATTCCAAGTCCGCCCAATGCAGTAGAATCTAGACTCCAACTCTTCATCTTGTATGTAAGGATACCATGGCTGTAGTATCCCAGTCTAGTAATCCTTTCCAGCATAAACATGAGGTTAGGCTGGAAGGACAATAAAATTCAGATCTAGAAGGGACCTCTTGCCTTCTCCTTCTCTCCTACAAACTCTCCCAGTGTTTTATCATCCCTACTCTGGTATCACTTCCCTCCTTTTACAGTTATGAACCTATAGTTAACCAGTACAGGAGAGAGAGAGAGAGAGAGAGAGAGAGAGAGAGAGAGAGAAGGGGGAGAGAGAGGGGAGAGAGAGAGAGAGAGAGATGGAGATGTAATTATATAGCACCTACTCTATGGCAGGCATTGTCTTAAGTGCTTTACAAATATTATCTCATTTGATCCTCCCAACTACCCTGTTAAGTAGGTGCTGGTATTATCTTCATTTTACAGTTGAGGAAACTGAGGTAAACAGAGGTCAAGTGACTTGTCCAGGGTCACAAAACTAGTAAGAGTCTGAGGATGCATTTGAACTCAGGTCTTCTGAACTCCAAATCACTCAACCCAACTTATCACCAGCTGCCATAAAATTATAAGCTTTCATCTTCTTTTGCTAGTCATATCTTGTCAAATCTCAGCCCTGGAATACCCCCACCATCTACCTTCTCCATTTCCATTTACATGATACTAAACATTCCTGATGAAAATATTGAAATGGTACTAATTTGATTTGGGTTCATGTATTGTTGAGTTGTCTGATATCAGCTGGGTCCTCTATGTTGCACAGTAATCTTTTTCTTCTTCACTTATGGACTCTATACCATATTTCATTCCAAACCTTTCCCCTTCCCTCCTCAAAGCTTGGTCACCATCTCCTTGTTTTAATGATAAATTAAAATGAAAAAAAAATGTTGAGACTATAGTATGTGCTGAAAAATGGTTGTTGAATTCTCCCTCATTTCACACCTCAGATCCCTTCTTTATCATCTTTCATTTTGTCCATCTTTGTTCCAGTCTCTGAAAAAGACACGGACTTTCCCATTGCTGAGGTTAAACCTTCTTCTTGTACTCTTGATTTTATGTCTTCTTTTCTCCAGGAATGTCCCTCCTTAATTATCCTTTCTGTCAGCATCTTTACCAACCCTTTTAAGCAATTTCCTCAGATATCCATTGGATATGAAACTGGTTGAATGGGTGGATCCAAAGAGGACCTGAATGGTTTGGTGTCCATGTGGAAGGAGGCATCCAGTGGAATGTTCCAGGGATCTTGACTTGTCCTGTGCTATTAAAAAGTTTTGTCATTGAACTGGACTAAGCATTAGATGACATGCATACCCAATTTACAGTTGATACGAGGTTGAGAAGTATCAATATCCCACTGCATGACAGATTCAAGATCCAAATAGACCGTGATTAGAACACTGGACTAGTTGTAGCCTAGGCTAGGACAGTGGGCTGAATTCAAGGAGATGCAATTCAGCAGGGATACATAGAAAGTGTTACACTTGGCTCCAAAAAATCAACTTCCCAAGTATAAGATGAAGGAGGCATGGTCAGCTAGAGGTTTGTCTTAAACAAACAAAACTGGCTTATTGGATTGAATTCTACAGCAGGGATAGTTTGAGACTGCAGTGTGATATGGGCTGCCAAAGTAAGTGTCATCTGAAGTTCATCAAGAGAAGCAAAGCGTCCAGGAATAAAGAGGTCAGAGCACACCTGACAATAGTGTTGGGTTCCAGTTGTGACATTTTAGTAAGGACAGTGGTAAGCTATAAAATAGCCACGTGACACACCCAGTTAGTGAACGGCCTTGAGTCATGGCATGTGACAGCTGGTTGAAGAAACTGGAGAGGTTTGCCCTGGAAAAGAGGAGAGTCAGGGGAGATGTGATTAATGTCTTTATATATTTGAAGGAGCTATGGGGTGTTAGCGGAGCTTAGACTTGTCTTGTTGGGCCCCAGAGGGCAGAATGAAGAGTAATGGCAGGCCAGGTAGGGGAAGATTGTAGAGAAGATGTGGCCTTGATGTGAGGAATGCCTTGATGATAATTAGCTCTGTCCAGAGGTAGAATGAGCTGCCCTTCCTGGAAGCCTGAGGGCTGGAAGACCACTTGTCAAGTATGCTGTAGGAGGATTTTTTTTTCTGATATGAGTTTGACTAGGTAACTACTGGGATCCTTTTCAGGTTTGCTGTGATTCTGACTTTCTGTGATTTAATTCAACCCTCACATTTTATAGGTGAGGAAAATGAGGATTGCCCAAGTTCATACAGAGTGGAGTGATTTGAACCCAGGTCTTCTGACTTCAAGTTTCGTCCTCTTTCTATTGCCTACCCCACTGCCTTATTCCTCCTCTTGATCAATGATCGCAGTATCTCTTTCCAAGTACTCAGAAACCATCCCTTTGATAATGTTTTTCTAGATTTTTTTTTTTGTCCAGGAATTGAACTTTACCAGCCAGTAGTTTGGGGGAATCTATTGTCATCTTCTTTTCAAAAACTGGGTACCAAAAATGGCCCATTCCCCATGATTTCTAAAGCTCACCAACACAGCACTAACATGACAAAATGCTCTCAGTAGGTCCCGGGGATGTTGTCTGTTTGGGCTCAAGCAGGTAGATATTTCTTAATGTTTGTTCTCTTGTATTTGTTTGAGTTTCTTGTTGTACAGTTATATTCTACGTGTTCTAGTCTGAAAATTGGTCTCTTTGGTGGAGAAAACAATCAAAACAGGAATCGAGTGGTTTGGCCTTCTCTCCAGCCTTTGTCTCTCATCTGTTATCCTCATCCCTTGACTCTTGGCATCAGCTCTTTCTGGATTTTCTCTTTGTGTGAACTGAGCCTTTTCCTCGTCATGTAGGTCGTTGACAAATCTCAGTTTTAGCCTTCTTGCTCCCGACAATTTTTTGTATCTTTCCTCATTTAGGAACCTTGGCTTTCATCTTCCACGTATTTCCTTATAAATTTTGAGTCAGTGCTTTTGTTAGGATGTGACAGTGGAGACAAAATCCAATGCTCTAAGCCTGAGTGTGAGATCCATGGTCTAAGGAGACAGAATACTGTGTTGACCTCTAGTTACAATGAGCACACTGAGTCCTCCATGATCATTATGCACCCAAAGCTAGCACAGCCTAGAGTCTGAGCACCATGTCGAACGATTGCAGAGGCCCCTCTCCAATCAACAGTCTTGGGTTTGCTAATTCTGATATGCTTTAAATGTTTGGAAGGAAAAAATAGTCAGGCTTTCAAACAGAGCTGCATGACATTAAATAATAAAACAACAGATTACAGTCTACACACACAACGTCCATTTGTTTTTAAAGAACAAGAAGAAAAAATTTAAATAAAAGATTTAAAAAAATATGTAATTAAGGATTAGTAGGAAACCACTTATTCGTTTATTATTTTTATTTCATTTTATTCATATTTTATTATTGTTTCTAATTGTTTTGGGTTGCATCAACCACAGATAAAGAGATAAATTAAAAATTGGTTGGGAAATATTTCCTTCCTAAGCTTTGACCCCAACATTTCCCAGATGGGCCTGATTTAAAGGAAATTTGTCTTATTTCATCTTTGAGATGCCCTTCTCCCTTTCTGCCTCTTCATCATCCCTTTTGACAACATCCCCCCACCTTTCTCGCTCAATGTTCTCACGTTTCTGGGACGTCTTCTGTTAAGGGTAAAGTTATGATCAGAAGCCTGATGACTCATTGACACCTTCCTGCTGTTTGTTGTTGCTTTTTTCCTTCTGTAATTAAATTTTGTCAAATTAATTAGAGAGGAAGCAGTAGGGGTGGTGGATAAAGTATTGGGTTTGGAATTAGGACTATCTGGACTTGATTCCTCCTCTCACGCCCTGGTGAAATGACCTGTCAGTTTCCTTATCTCTAAAATGGGAATAATAATAATAGCAGCTACCCTGTGGGGTTGTTATGCGGATCCGATGAGGTAACGTGTCTAAGTGGTTTTAAGCTTAGGCAAGAGTGAGCTGTTTTGACCTTTGTTACTCCTGGCTGTGATCGCTTTCCTTAGCAGAATGTAAGCTCCTCGAGGGCAGGGACTGTTTCTTTTGTCTTTAGGTCTATGCCCAGCACCTGGTCCGGGGAACTGAGAAACATATTCCTTACTTTCTTGTTTGTTCTTAGGTTTGCAGAGGAAATGACCGGCACCTGGCTCTGTCTCTTCGAAGGCAGCGGGATCCCATATGGGCCGATCAACAGCATGCGTGAGGTGTTCGCTGAGCCTCAGGTTTGTTGCATTGAGCCTTTGGATACAATCTGCAATGTGCTTTGGAGAGAACAACAATTCTTCCTTGTTTTTTCCTCTTAAAATTAAAACTCGTAAATATGTCATGGCCTCTGAACCTACTGATGCCGATAACGCGGTCACTCATTGCAAGGCAATCCGTGCCCTGGAATCAGTGGCAGTACATCGGAAATTTCCCCTGCCTCCTCAGAGGCCCAGTACATTCAGCTTAGTGTCTTTCTTGGTAGCAGTGGGCAGTAGGTGGAGATTCAGAAACTTGGCTTTTTCTGCCCCTCACTCTCAAAATTGTTTCAGTTGTTTGCGGTGTTATGTCTTGGTGCTTGAAATTTGTGAACGCTAGCTGAGCAGTGTGCTGCCAACGATCGTAACATCGTATGAATATTGTAATACATGGACGGTAAATTGCAATTAATTTTATGGGCAGAAAGCTAATTAGGGGCATTGATTAATCTCTGTCACTCAAGAGGAGTGCTTTGACTGCGTAGGAATGAGTTTTCCATTGATTATTGGTTCCCAGGTAGAAAGAGACAAGATCCCTCAACCTCCAGTCCAAACTCTTTGAGTGTATCACTCACAGCGCATTCTCCATTTTGCAGTAACTCATAGTGTTTTGCCTTATACATTGTGGAGTCCTTTGTGGGTGTGTTAGTGTAGCCTCACAAAGGAAGGTGAGGCTCTTATTCCTGGCTCTTCTAAATCCTCTGGTCAAACTTATAGGATGGATTGTTCTAACATGATGTCATTTCCCATCATCTGGGGGTGGGGGTGATGGTGTGGTCCATTTGACTTCTATTGTGTGACTGTGGATTTTCTTTAAATGAACTCACAATAATGGGGTAGACTTGTTGGAGAGGATTTGTTGGCCTGTGCTGGCTGGCCTCTTCTTGGATTGGCTGCAAGTATTTTGTTCATTCCCAGCTCTGGAGGTGGGATCTATTTTCCCCACTTCCCAACTTTCCCAGGGTCCATACTTCGGTTTTCAACAGTTCTGCACAAGTTAGTTTGTTTATGTATGTATATGTATATATATATATATACATATATAAAACTGGTATTTCCTATTTTGCTCACAGTCATCAGAGATGAGGTGGAAGGTCACCCCTCCTGAGAAGTGGGTCCGGACACCTCTCAGGTGCTGTGCTGATGAAGAGGCCGGTGAAGAAAGCTTTGTTTTCATTTGTGTCTTGGTCTGGTCCTTAACCGCTGATGCAAAGGAGCATCTTCTGTCCAAATGGCACAGTTGCCAGGGGCACTGAGAAGTTAGTGACGTCAATCAATCCGCCAACCAATCAATAAACATTGATTATGTATGTGCCAGCCCAGGCATCACAGGGATGGGACCAGGAAAGGCCTCCTGAGAGGTGGCATGTAAGCTGAGTCTTTGGGAAAGCCAGGGGGGCCAGGGGGCAGAGGTGACAAAGGAGACCCTTCTAGGCATGAGGAACAGCCAGGAACCATGGACTGAATCAGAAGATGGTCAGAAGAGTGTCCTGTGTGAGGAACAGCAAAGAGGCTGGTGGCACTGCATGGCGGGGTGTGGGGAGGGGAAGAAAGTAGCCCGGAAAACTGTTAAGAAGGTAGATAGAAAGACCGGAAAGCTAGGAAGGGGCCACACCAATGACGAACATCTGCTCTTGTAAGATTTAGATTAGGGGTTGTCTGAACTTCTAAAATGATAACTCACTAGATCCCACTGGAGCATTTGCTTTTATTATTCAACTCATCCTGGCATATAATAGGTATTCAATAAATGCTTATTGATTGATTGAATTAGCTCAAAGCAAGGGTCTTTACTGTAGTAGCTTAATAAAAACAATCGTAATAGAATAGCTCCCTCCGAACCATGGCCCACCCTGCCACAACCATGCGGTGTCGGTGGAAATAAAGGGCTCGGGGACTTCCGTGACCAAAGTGAGGGAGAACTGGGTGCTTTCTCTGATCCTCCCATGTTTTCACACTTCTTCAAAATAGAATTCTGCACTGGAGATGAAGCCTTTCAGTTGTCTCCATGTTCTAAGATTCCAGGAAACCTAATGAGGTAAAAACCCAATGAACCTATAGCCAAAAAGTATAATTCCCAATCATTAATGTGGTCACTCAGCACTCTCTTGCCTATTAGATCTCTCTTTTTGGAAATTTTATTTAGCATTTTATTTTTCCCCAATTACATGAAAAAACAATTTTTAACATTCATTTTTAAAACTTTGAGTTCCAAATTCTCTCCCTTCCCCCCTCACCACCCCGCTTCATTGAGAAGGTAAGCAATTCCCTATAGATTATACATGTATAGTCTCGCAAAACATTTCCATACTAGTCATGTTGTGAAAGAAAACATAGACCAAAAAAAAAACCTCAAGAAAAATAAAGAAGGAAAGAAAGAAAAGTCTGCTTCAATCTGCATTCAGACACCATCAGTTCTTTGTTTGAGGATGGATAGCATTTTTCATCACGAGTCCTTCAGAGTTGTCTTGGATCATTGGGTTGCTGAGAATAGCTAAGTCATTCACAGCTGGTGATCTTACAATATTGCTGGTACTTTGTATATGGTACATTTCGCTTTGCATCAGTTCATATAAGTCTTTCCAGGTTTTTCTAAGAGCATCCTGCTCATCATTTCTTATAGCACAGTAGTATTCTATCACAACCACATAGCACAATTTGTTCAGCCATTCCCCAATTGATGGGCCTCCTCCCAATTTCCAACTCCCTGCCATCAGAAAAGAACTGCTTAAAATATTTCCATACGTATAGGTCCTTTTTCCCTTTGTTTTTAATCTCTTTTTTGGATACAGACCTACTAGTGGTATTGTTAGGTCAAAGGGTTTTATGCATGTCATTTGCGCATAGTTCCGAAGTGCTCTAAAGAATGATTGGATCAGTTCACAACTCTACCAACAGTGCATTAATATCTCATTTTTTCCCACATCATTTGTCATTTTCCTTTTCTGTCCTATCAGCCAATATAATAGGTATGAGGAAGTACTTCACACTTGCTTTAATTTGCTTGCATCACCAGGGCTGAGGAAAATCAGTTGAATGAGGGATGTCCTGATCACCTCTGCTGTGTCCCCCTCCCTTGTAGGTTGGAGGGACCCTGGAGCCTATTTCTAGATCAGAAAACTGAGTGGCAGAAATAGTAAGTGTCAGAGGTAGGATCTGAATCCATGCCTTTCTGACTCCAGATTCAGTCTTCCATCTGCTTGGTCTGCCTTGCTGCCTTTTTTTGGGGGTGGGGTTTACTTGGAATTGGTCAGAACTGTATGGAATCATTCTGTAAAGTTTTGATCCTTCCATTAAAAACAAGTTTGGAAAAAAGCTAAAGGAGGTTGAGAGGAGAAAAACAGAAACATTTTTATTAATGTGTGGAAAATAGATGTTATGAGAAATTGTTGAGTTGAGGATATTTACCTCGGTTCCTTAATAAGAATAGGGCATGAAATCACCATTCTTTGTTTTTTCTTTCATTCACTTTTTGGTGGGATAGGAGGTAGACTTTCTGCATGGACAAGGAAGCCCAGAGGACACTGTCCCGTAGGCGTGCCTTTATTTATCAGTTTTGCAAGGTTTCCAGCGGGCCAAAGTGGTGGAGAGACCCCTGTCCACCAAAATATGAGCCGGCTCACTGGAAATAACTGCGTGGGGAGAGATGACCTAGCACTCTGGGGGTGATGTCACAGTCCTTGGTGGCCACCCTGAGGTCATGGGGGAGGATTCTCATTGGCCACCCTCATCCTTTACTCATCACCTTGTGTGAACCGAGGCTTCAGCCTTTCTACAACTCAACTCAGGCCAGTGGGGCTTAACTGGAAATCCATCTCTGTCTGTGACGGCAGCCCCTCTGGAAGCTTCAGCCTGGGGAGCGTCTCCACCCTCATCCTTTCTAATTACTGAAAATCTCCTTTTCCCCTGTTTTTTTTTTTAAATAAATTTAGTTTAGATCAATAAACACTTAAGATTCTCTCTGTATTCCCTTCTGCCCTTCTTCTGAGAGACTAGAATGTTTTTAGAGCTCGTTATCCACCTTGGACTGGGGTGAGGGGCCAAGCTATGACTTAGTTAGCAAGAATAATTAGTTATGATGGGGAGCTAACAGGTGGCTCACACCTTCTCCTCTTGCTGCTGCTGCCCCCAGCCCCTCAACCTCCTGTGATCTCCCCGTGCTTTGGGGTGGCCTTGCCTAACCCATGCAGGGCCTTTGCCTCCGGGGAATCAATGTTCTGGGGTCTGGGTCTCCTCCTTCTCCACGGAAGGTGTATTAAAAAGTTGACCCAAGGGTCCTTTTCACATCACTGGCCTGTTGTCTTTTATGAGGCCGGATCGTGCCAGACGAGGCTCTGAGGGGACAGTGCCATCAGTACCTTACGGGGTGCAGGGACACATTCACAGTCGTGCCACTGTCCAGACTGCCGGCTCCGTCGTGGGCACTATGTGGCATGACATTCAAGGCCTGGAATACCCAGTATGAATTCATGCTGCCGGTTATCAGTTTAGAGGTAAAAGAATTCCAGAAGACCATCTCATCCAACCTTCTCATTTTAGAGAAGAAGAAACTGAGGCCCAGAAAGGGAGCGATCTGCCTTCTTTCCACTCTTCTCCATTTCATTTTCGTCTGTAGAATAGCGTAGTAATCAACATGCTGGCCCTGGGAATCCGGTGCCTGCTTTGTCACTGGCTCATCGGGTGATTCTCTGAGGCACGTCACACCTTCCATAAGCCTCAGTCTTGTCCTCTGTGAAATGGAAGACTGGATGCTCACTGAGGTCCTTTGCACCTGGAAGGACGGATAATTCTGGGGGTGAACTTGGCTGGCAACACCCCAAGCCTCATTGCCCTCACCCTTAATGGCTGCAGCCCTCTCTGATTGAGCTGCCAGAGAGGATGACGTCTTGCTCCCGGCCCTGGCACCGGAGAGTCGTTTTTCCATGGATGGATGGAAAGTCGTCTGTGTTTTTCCCGCTGATGATATGCTTACAGTCACTTGT